TCACCCATGTTATAAAAGATATATCTCACCCAGGATATAAAAGATATAAAAGAGGTATAACTACTAGAATGGAACACAATTTTTTTTGAAGATTATTATAACTTATGCATCAAACCCCAATATAAATATAATAAAAAATTAATAGTTCAGTAAATTGGTTATTTAAAAGGTAAATATATAAAAATGTAAAATTTTACCACAAAATAGCCAGTTAGAAGATCTAAAAAATAGATTTCATTAATAGCAACAAAAATACCTAGAAATATGCCTAAAAAGAAGTACCTATATGAAGATGAAGAAGCAAATGTTAGTGAAAGGTATGCTTAGGATTTTAGCAAATATAGAGAAATACTATATTCCTGAATAACAAAAAGGAATTTTACAAACATGTCTGTTTTCCTCCGAATAATTTATGTGTCTAACAAAATCTCAATAAAAAATCCCCTTGGAACTTACTCTTAGAACCTGACAAAATAATTGTACAGATCTAATGGAAAAATCAACAGGTGAGAAAACAAATTAGAGCTTTATCTCACAGCATATTTAAATACAAATTCTGCAGATGATTTAAGTACTAATATAAAACAAAAAATTAGTTATTAAAAAATTAGAAGAAAAGAAGTGACTGGTTAACTTTCCCGCAAAGGGAAGCATCTTTCTAAGTATAACATCAATGTAAAGGAGAAGTTTATATATAGATATATATGTCTCTCTCTATATAGTGGTATGTTACCATTTATATATATATATATATATGTATATATATATGTCTACATAAAAACCAAAAACATCTCCATGACAAAAAAAATCATGCACAAAATTAAAATTTATAGACCAACAAAAAGTTTACAATGGACAAAAATTAATGTCTTTAAGTCACAGAGTATCTTTAGAGTCCATAAGAAAAATACCGACACTCCCACAATTTAACAGAGGACATACACAGATAATGCTCTATAAGATGATGAATGGTCATGTAAATGTGAAAAAATGTTCAATATTATTAATCAGGGAAATGTGAATTAAAACCACAATAAAACGCCTTTTTCCCCCACTTATTTGCAAAGCTAACATTCAAAGCTCACAAGGTGGCAGTGAGTAAGAGAAGAACTGAGACCACTCTGTGTTCCAGTGCAAGATTCTGTATACTTTCTGTGAAAGATCTTCCCACAAATATGAATTTGGAAAATTCAGTTATAAACTGGGAAGCCCACACCTAAAATCCATTCTAAGGGAGCAATAAAAGATACGAACAAACATTTACTTGTAATCTGATTCTTCAAACAGTGAACATTTGTAAGCCATCTAAATGTCCAAAATAGGGTCATGGTCATTAAATGATCACATATCCAAAGAATTAAAAATGACCATCATTAAAAAAGCATATTTATGAAGCCTGCTTTAGAAGCCTGGGAAAATGCTCACAAAATGATGTTGCCAAGAAAGAAGATGATACAATTACTATTATAATTCCTTAAAAAAATTATTATTATAAGAACATGCGCCATAGGATCTCCAGGTAATGTCAAGTTGGAGATCATAATTTTAATTTAATACCTTTCTCTATTTTCTGCAACAAACGCAGATTCATAGAACAGAAAATATTCAACAAAAGATTTACCAAAAGCTCAAGGCTTTTAAAAAGTAGTGGTTTCTCTGATCGTTGTAATCGGATTTCTGTCCATACGCTGGAAACCACAGTGCTGTTGCTACCATGTGGCAGAATGGCATAGAAGAACAGGCGTACGCTCAAATACTGTCACATGTCAGTTTATTGAGGAAACTGGGATGCTAGCTAGAGGTTAACTCTATTCACTTGATTACTTTTCAGGATGTCAAACAAGAGTCTGAAGGCCACACAGGCCATGAAAGTTACACAATGACTTTCCCACATTTTGTTCAAAAACACAAAAATCAAATACGAAGAAATGTTCGACTCTGCATATTGCCCTCATTTTTTTTTTTTTTTTGTAATTAAGGGTCAGGAAGCACAGTGGTGTGGGGGAAGGACAAAAATGGAACATGTAACAGGCAAATATTTTTGCTAGATTTCATTTTCAAAGTTTCAGATCTTTCCGATTTTTTTTTTATTTTTTGTAGCAAAAAAGGAATCAATACTTTTCATTCCACTCTTGTCAACTTTAGCCAAAGCCTTCTGAGCTGCAGTCATTTTGCTATTTTTCTGTTAAGGAAAATAAGAGAAAAATTGTTACAAATGTAACCTTTATAAATCGTAAATGCAAATCAAACAAGACCATGCTTGTCTCAAGGTTCATGAAGAGAAGTATTTTCTGCTAACATGTTTCATAAGGGAGACATTATTATTATTTTTGTTTTAATTCTGATTTCCATTCAGAATTCAGATCTAAGACACAAAATCTGGTAAAAGAGGCAGGAGAAAAAATCGCCGCCTTCTAAGGAGTGGAATGTTACAACCAATGGTTCACTTTGGGGGAGTAATTCTGGAGGATGTATTAAGTACAATAACACCAATAAAGGAGCTGACTCAGGAAGTGATTGTCAGAGGAGGAATTCTAGCCTAGTATTACTGCGTGATGAATAATTCACCACAATGGACTGTTGCATTTTATTCATAGGCTCTATGGGAAACCAAGGACAACACCAATATATTCAGAAAATAACCTGTACTGTAGAGCATCCGGGGCCAGCAGGATAACTGCCCCCGTTTTCGTCCAACAAAGAAATACTTTTCAAAAAGCTGACTTCACGTAACTGCCTTTGAAATTCCTCTCTCTTCCTGGTCACTGTTTTCTCTGTTTGTTTTGCTTTGGTTTGGTTTTGTGCCACGTTCTGGAACTATCACTCCTAGAAGGTAAACAGCAGCTGATTCTACTTCAGCGCATCTCAGCTTCTCCAGCAGAAGCAAACATGATGGGACTCAGCAAAGGAAAAGAAATGATCTGTCTCCCTGAGAACTGTGAGACAGTCACTGCCAAAGAACCTTTTAAGGGCACGGTATATGATCCCTGAAATCTTGCTTCTCACATTCTGTCACTTACGTTTTAGGAGGCTTGTTTTTTGACTGGATGGTGAAAAGTGACAGCCTCTTTGAGACAAGTTATCCCCTGTATTTAACTGACATCCTGGTCCAACCCCTTATTTCCCTGGGGCTGTGCCCAAGTAGATACAACAAAAAGCAGCAGTTACAAGGGTGGGGCAGAATTAGTCCTCCCAGAGAAACTCAAAAACATCCCTGCTTACAGAAGCCATAGAGATAACTAGCTATCTTGCCAAATCTCAACTGGGATTTATTCCCTGACATCACATGCCCAGATAAATTACATATAGATCAAAGAATAAAATTTATAAAAAACATTAAATGCTAAGGGGGGGGTAAATGTTAAAATCTAAGAGGAAGTGAGTTTATGTTGGGATGGGCAAGCATAAAAATAATGAGAAAGTCACAAGGAAAAACAATTCCTACATTTAATCCTCAGAAAAACTTAAAACTGTTTAAAAAATCGAATGAAAAGGCTAAACACAAATTAGAAAATCATTTGTACCCTATGTGTCGTGAAGTGTTAATAATTCCTAATCTAGAATAAGCTCTTAAAAATCAACAAGAAAAACACTACTATCCCAATATAAAAAACAGGCAAGGGGCATGAACTGACAATTTCCAAAAATGCAAATGGGCAATAAGCATTTGGAAAAACAACTAACCTTTCTCACCAAAGAAATGTACCCTAATTAGACAGTCAAAAATTTTCAAGAATAGGGCGCCTGGGTGGCTCAGTTGGTTAAGCGACTGCCTTCGGCTCAGGTCATGATCCTGGAGTCCTGGGATCGAGTCCCTCATCAGGCTCCCTGCTCAGTGGGGAGTCTGCTTCTCCCTCTGACCCTCCCCCCTCTCATGTGCTCTCTCTCTCTCTCTCATTCTCGCTCTCTCAAATAAATAAATAAAATCTTTGAAAAAAAATTTGCAAGAATAAAAATAATATTCAGTGTTGTCAAGAAAGCAAGATGAGCAATCTTGCAGCAATAATGGTTGGGAATTCAAATTTCTACATTTTTGGAAAGCATTTTATATATATGTGTGTGTGTATATATACACACACACATATAATCAATCATATATATGATTATATATGATGTATATCATATATATGATAAAATCACATATTATTATGTATGATATAATATATATGATAAAATCACAATCATGTACACACACGCATATATATATTCTCTCAATAATCATGGAAAGAGCTCATGTTTTCTAAGCCCTTATTCTTAGTTCTAAATTGTGTCTAAAGAAATAGAGATACAGTCTATAAATGTTTATCACTTCATTAAAACAAAGAATGAAAAAAGCAGAAGTAACCAATGTGTCCAAAAATAGGGGAATGACTAAACAGATTATATCCCATATGGTGAAATAAAATAACACAAATGACTGAATATCATGAAAGCATTAATAATTTGTCAAAGAATGCCTAATGACATGAGAACATTTTCACAATATAGTGCTAAATGAAGAGGATAGAACGCCAAACTATAAATATATTAAAATGCCAATTTTAAAAGCTATGTATGTATTTATAATGTGTATGTATCATATAAAACTTTGTAAGAAAGGTTATGAAAATATTTGCCAGGGTGATTGCTGAATGGTAGGGTTATTAATAATTATTGTCATCATCATAAATTCTGGGAAGCTTCCAGGCAGTAGAGTTGACAAAAAATGACCTGTGGAGGCTCCCTCCCTCTGTGCCCCCACCCCCCCAACTCTAAATATAGATGGCAAAGTGTAGGCATGCTCTTGCTAAGTATATTGCCTTGTCTTGATTCATAAAAAGTCTTCCTGGCTTGACATATTCATTGTCATTCACAATTTTGAATTACTGAGTCACAGAAATGCAAGTTAATAATCTTTCATGGTTAAAAATCACCATCAAGCATGAAATCATTCCTGGATGTCCTCATGCAGGATCATCTACCGAATCCAGGAATATACTACTACGGCTGGACACACATACCTTTTCAGTCTTCCAATCTTTCCTGTTAAACTTAGTGTAATCTTCTTTTGCTTCTACAGGCTCATCAGATAACTTTACTTTCTGCAATGTTAGAGCAGTGAAGTGATGTCAAATGTCACCTCGACACAGCAATCCATTTTTTAAAAAACAGTGGGGTCAATTTGGACCTGCATTAAGGCCAAATGGAACAGCAGACCCTGCAAAGGGGGCTTACTCTGCATTTTGCCAATTATCTGGGAGAATGAAGCCACATATACCCTCTGAGAAGCAGCCTCGGTGATGGGGGTATATGATAGGGTGAGTCCATGACCCAGCCTGTTGGGCAGTCTAGTGATACTGATCACATATTTTGTATGTACCAGGACTGGGAGGCATCTAGGCGACTGCTGACTTCCAGGACAGTGTAAGGGGGTGAAGGCAGGCACAGAAGTCAAAGACAAGAATTTCCTTTAAAGGGCCAGGTATCCAGCTAGAACCCCCACTTCATTCACCTTCTGGGCTGGGGGTGTAATGTCCATTTAGGAATAAGGCACATTATTCTGTTATTACCATTTTTGTATAGCTTCATGTTCTTACCTCCTTTCAATTCAACTATCTCATTTTGTCCACACAAGGACAACCTTGCAAGGCAAGCAGCCAGAAGGAGAAGGAAGCACAGAGAGATTAAACAAATGACTTAAGCCCACCTAGCAGAGGACAAGGCGTGAGAGCTCCATTTCTGTACAAGTGCTCTTTCCATGAGGCCCAATATAACTAAGTCCACCTTTACTTCATGTTTTTACCTTTCACATGAGCATTCTGCACCAGTGAACGTGGGAACCTTGTCAAGAGCTAGACTGTGGCTTTAATGTTCACATTATGGAAGGAATTGTGACACATTTACTACGTAAAAGGCACATAACAGGGCAGGTAAGTCTTGATATTTAACACAGAGAATTGACTGCACGTGACCACAACTTGGATTTTTGCAGATCTTCAAGTTCTTTGTGGAGACACCGGGTTGAAAGACCCAATGTGGATCTTCCCCTCGAAATGCGGATTTATTCCCAGCTTCCCTCTTCCTACCCCAGCGTTTGCTAAACAGAGAGCTGTAGAGTTAGTGTTAAAAGATGCCACGGCACATGTATAAAAACCACGGGCATAAAACAACGTGTCTTGAAATTCTTCACTGTAAAAGAACAGGGGGGCATCCTGGAAATACATAACATCATGTGGCAACACCTTCTCTTGGTCACCCAGTAATCCCTAGCAAATGAATCTTCAAAAGAAAAAGACTAGCTTATCACGAACGAACTACTACCAGCAAAGTATATATATGAGCAATTTTCTTAAGAATATGTTTCTACTTAAAAATTAAGATCAGTAAAGGGCATTTAGGTGATGCATATTTTTACTAGAAAAGTATCTTTAACCAGGAAAGTGGAACTCACAGGTAATAACGGTTCAGGCTATAATTGTCTCAGATGGTTTGCTCTCCTCTGAGGCAAAATGTCCTACTTTAGGTGTCCTTATAAACACTTGGGCATATTCACTCTTTGCTGGGAAGTCAATGAAAAAATGTTCAAGACAAGAGCTTAAGATGAAAAGTGCTTCTTTATAAATAGACAGTGTTTAATAAGATGATGGACTTGCTCAGGTGTTTTAATGGCTCCTATCAAACAGGACACCAGTAATTAGTGCTCATAAAAAAGAAAATTATTGTGGTGGGTCTTTGCACTGAACTTTTTCTAATGTTACTCACAGCACATGCTGAATATGTTTGAAAGAATCACAACTGTTACACTTATTTGAATTGTTATTTAAAAGACCAAACAGGGGAGCCTGGATGGCTCAGACGGTTAAGGGTCCGACTCTTAGCTCAGCTCAGAAGTCTCTATCTCAGGGTTGTGTGTTTAAGGCCCACTTTGGGCTCTGCCTATTTAAAAAAAAAAAAAAAAAAAGACCAAATCACTACAGATGTGGGGGGATGTTTCAGAACAAACAGAAAAAGGGCTCAGAAAAACAGTAACAAAGGCTATGACTGAATGGGTACAGTTCTGGAAAGAGAAGAACAAATAGCAGAGTACCACAGGAATTAATGCTAGGATGGGTCTTATTCTTACAGATGATCTGCAAGAAGGAACTCAAGAGTATCTCCAATCCACTGACTGCACTCAGTTCTGCCAGCTGACGGAGATAAATTCCAACGATGGAAGGGGGCAAGGGTTGGAAACTGAGCTTCAACACAGGCAAATGTGATAGTAAGAAAATAATGCAAAACACATTAAGGACGACAGGCTTTATACTATCATTACAAACAGACACAAAGATACCTAATAACCACTGGAACGGATTCCCTGAAAACCATCGACCATATTACTGTAAAAATCAATCAAACCTGGGACACATACAAGAAGGCTAGCAGAAGATGTGGTCCTAAGCTTGTTTAGAGCATGGTACATCATCCAGTGCAGTTTGCACTCCACACACTAGAGCCCCAGCAAGACATAATAGAACGGGACACCTCCAACAGCGACTAAACAATCCAGGACAAAAACTAATGATGTAATATATGGTGATTAACATAACAATAAAAAAAAAATCCAGGAGATGAGGCTGAGATTTAGGAGAAACAGGATTGTGAGATCCAAATCAGGGCTTGGCAAACTGCCTGCGGGCCCAGCCCTGCTGGCCGCCTGTTTTTATAAGTGAAGTTTGGCTGGAACACAGCCGCCCGCATCCGTTTATGAGTCGTCTGTGGCGGTCTCTGAGCTACCACAGCAGAGCTGAGGAGTTGTGACAGAGACCATCTGCCTTGTGAGGCCTCAAACAGTCACGACCTGGCTTTTGCAGGATAAGCCTGCCGACCCCTGATTTACATCATACACGATGACATCACAAATCATTTAAAGTTTGGAAATTAACATAGGCAAACAGAAAACCGGGTTAAAAGTAAACGTAGGAAATGCATTATCCCGGATGGTATCAAAGGCCAAAACCTTCATTCATGAATGATCTCTAAGTTCCTAAGGAAGACAGATATTTGGGAGAAAGAAAGATGCTTTTGTTTTTGGAAGCAGAAAAGTAAGAGAGGAACACATGCCCATCGCCTCAGTTCCAGCAAGGCAAGGCAATCATGCCTCTATCCCCTACAGCTCCCGTCAGAGATGAACTACTAGACTGGAAGAAGTGCGGGTCTGACCTAGAATGACCTCGGGTCTTATGGCAACTGGCCTCTGCCCAGCGCTATTCCTCCTGAGGGAAAAGGATCGCCCTCCTTTGACAGCCTGCTGAAAATGGCCCACAGCTCAGGTTGATGCGCTTGAAATTTTCTGTCCTTCTCTTAAGTCAAAGTAGTGAGTGCTTCTGGAGCCACCACAATCTCCAAACAGGACATGAAACAAAAAAAATCCCGAGCATGTTGGCCACCTTGAAGGCAGGGAAAGAGGAAAGTTCTTTAACATCCACTTTCCATTCTCAAGGCATCCATTATTCTGTTGGCAAGAGAATGACCTCACTGACGAGTTGGTTTATTTCCCTGTCTCTGAGCAGTGCTCACTTGTCTGAGATCAGGGCTGGACTGAGGGACGCCACGGTTTGCCATCAGGTGTGGTTTATGGCTGGCTTCTCTAACTCTCTGTATCTGGGAGACAAAAACAAGCTGCAGCCCAGGAAGCCGAGGAGCTGTGGGTGGCAGTTTGAGAACATCTGGAAGAGGAAGGGGTTTTTGCAATACACAAGTTGCGTTGATCATTCCAAGCACAGAAAAAAAAAAAAAAGTTTGGCTATCCTTGCTCAAAGGGATTCTTTGTGTTGCGAAAATCATGCTCTGTTCACCTCTGTACCAGTAACAATTAGATCTGGCCAAATGAGTTTTAGTTATACGTTGAGTATTCCTGATGTTTAATAAAATTAATTGTAGGACCTGGCTATCTTAAGAAGGCTGAATTTTAATTATATATCTATGAGACTTTTAGGTAGGTATCTGGCTACAACCAACTCTTATCTGGTTTTCACAGCACTGTTTTTATCATTCAGGTAAAATCTACAAAAATAAAAATTACTGATGGAGAGCTCATTACAATCTTTAATCCACATAACATCACTCCACCCAAGGAGGATTTAGTATGCTTTAAAATGGACTAGAGCACAGTAAACCTATGTGGTAAAAATGTACTATTTTTCCAAGCCCCCCAAAGATATCTTAGTCACAGCTCCTTACCTTTGATGGAGGGTTTGGCAATGACGCTGAAGGTTCCGGAAGCCTGTGGAATAAAAAACAAGAATCATAGTCATGGTTTTTCATAGACAAGCAAACAGAGAGACTGGGCCAACTAAGGACTTAGCAAGTGCTACTTTCATGGACTAGCTTCACCTCCATGTGTCCTCCTGGACTATAACCTCAGTGTAAAGAATGACATTTCTCTAAATGAAGAAATCTACATTTTCTTCACATTGGAATTGTCTGAACTAAAAAGTAAATTAGAACTTATTTGTTGCAATGGAGCCGCTTTTCTTTAGCCTCTATAAATTTACATTTTGGCATTGTAGTATTTTTTTCCTTCATAAATGATGAATCCAGTATATATATATTTTTAATTTAAATACAACTTAGTTAACATAGAGTGGAATCCAGCATATATTTAAAAGTGAAAATTATTTTAACTGTTGACAAAAAGTCAGACAAACTTGACTTTTCTTCAATTAAAGAGAAGTTTAAATGACATATCTTCCTCCCGGAACCTTTAACCAAAAGCTAATTACTTCTGAGGAAAACAGCATCTAAAAAATAACAGGAGTACAAAGACATAGGTCTCGAATGAGACAAAGAGGCACTGAAAAACCCAGGGAAATATTAAACAGAAAGATAGGGTTATCAATTTAAAGCAGGCTTTCAAGACACTTTAACTACTATAGAAACCAGTTTCCACTAATTGTTTTTCTTTTTTCACTAATTGTTTTTTATTTTTTATTTATTTTTTTAAAATATTTTATTTTTATTTATTTGACATAGAGAGAGAGAGAGACAGAGTGAGCACAAGCGGGGGGAATGGCAGGCAGAGGCAGAGGGAGAAGCAGGCTCCCCACAGAGAAGGGGGAGTCCGATGCGGGACTCGATCCCGGGACTCCGGGATCATGACCTGAGCCGAAGGCAGTGGCTTAACCAACTGAGCCACCCAGGCGCCCCTTCACTAATTTTTAAAGTAGGACCTATGCAATTTGCTAAGAACAGCAACTATGTATCTCTTAAGTCACTTTATCTTCATGTATCAGAGGAGAAAGTTATTACAAGAATCATGAAAAGCTATTATCATACCCATAAAATCTTAACAATAGTTGCTAAAATCTAGAAAAGAAACACATTCTTTTCGGCCTAAGGTAAAGTCTTTACATTATATTAAATATCTTTATGAAGGATATAATAACACAGAGCAAATCATTCTTAAACCCATTTTCTACCCTCAGACACAGGTTGTGTTTGATCCTTTGAGTTCCAAGTGCTGGGCATAATAAAGGTACTTGACAAACATCTAATGACAGTGAAAATGGTACAAAACCTTTAAATGTAACTTTCAAAAATATCCTAAGGGCGCCTGGGTGGCTCAGTCATTTAAGCGTCTGCCTTTGGCTCTGGTCATGATCCCAGGGTCCTCATTGGGATCCTTGCTCAGCGGGGGGTCTGCTTCTCCCTCTGCCTCTATCCCTCCCCTCCACCTCCCCCATCCCCTGCTCTTGCTCTCTCTCTCTCTCAAATTAAAAAAAAAAAAAAATCTTTAAAAAAATATTCTACATGCCATCTCTTGTTTTCTTCCAATCTTTATTTCTCTTAAAATGATCACAAAAAACCACATTAGTGAAGTCTAACTGGAGATAAAATAGTATAATGTTAACACTCTAAAATCATACCAACCCATAATTCCAGTCCTAATACTCACCAGTTTCTGCAATCAGTATCCACCGATTCAATTTGTCTCAATAAATCAGTGTCTATTAAAAATCACCTTCAAACCATAGAGTCTAGGAGGTAACTCAAGAATAATTTATCAAAAACAGTGATGTGATAAAGTCATTAAGGACCCTATTGCTGGGAAACCAAGAAGCACCAAGGTACTTCCTAATTGTGGCTAAAGATGAACGATACTTACTTTAAATATTTTGATAAGTCATCACTTAATTCTTTAGGGATATAATCAGATATCAGACCATGTGCATAGCGAATATAATCCTCTGAAAGAAACAGAATGGAGAGTGCAAGGAAAAAAAATTAGTAACAGCTATGATAGTTTTATAGTCAAACTGACCAGAGTTAAAATTCTGGCTCTATCTGGCCTTAGAGACTCACTTAAGCTCTTAGCCTCCCTTTCCTCATTTGTAAAATGGGGATGCTAATATCTCTGGTTAGAGCAGTGGGCGGTTTCATGGATGAGATATGACAGAGGGTGATATCAAAGATGTGAGATGGCAGAATGCAGCAGATGCCCACCAAATGACAGTTAAAAATTCAGGGTCCTTTTCTTAGTTGAGGCCTTTGAATACAAATAAAGCTCAAAATCAGCTGTAATAACATGACATATTCATGCCTTTTAAAGGCTAATCTTTTCTAGGCATTTCCATATAGAATAAATATAATTAATGAATAGTAATGAATATATTCATTTAAGAGACATAATATATGATATGTCTCTGTCAAGTACTTGCTTTATAAGAGTCCTGAACATTATATATACTCTCAAACTAATAAAAATGCCTTCAAAAATGTAAAAAACTAAGCTCAGTAGAAGGTATAATCATTAATTCTAAAGCACGTGGACCCTCAGTACTACAGTGAAGCCGCAGTATCAATGAGATGCAGTAATAGAAGTCAAAATCTGTTTTAAAGCCCTGTTTTTTAATTCAGTATTTTATGTAGAATACTAGAGGATAATCAAACTTAATATATGGGATAATCATACGGGGATATAGACTACCAAAAGCACTATCTCAGGTTTGTTCCTGGGACATTCATTTGCTTCTTTTTTTCTTTCCTTCTGCCTCCAAACTAAGATAATAATTTGCCTAAGCATTAAAGTGACTGCTTCCTGGAGCACATAAAAGTCTTCACTGAGAGATTTACACTACCAACATAGAACTGAAAGTTATCACCAGACTCTTCTTAAAATGTGTTCTTGGTTCTAGGTTAGTAATTATCCAATAAGTCATGAATAGACAAAGGGAAACAAGGAAGCCAACACATTATTCGTTTGCCTCTTCTGATAGCCTCCTGAACTAAAGATCTAAAAAAAAGGAAAGCTTACTTTATGGCTAGGCCCTACATGGCAATATAGCCGTGCCCAAACCCTTATATTTAGAGACTGGTACAAACACTGGATTCAGAGCGGAAGACGTGGCCTAGCTAGGATGGGTGACCTTGGATAACTCATCTACTCTCTGAGACCACAGTTCTTCACTTTTAAATTAAGATCTGTCTAAATAATCTCTAACATCCCTTCACCTTCTTTAAAAAAAAAAAAAAAATCTATGGTCCATCCATCCACTCCTTCTCTTTTGTTAAAGCCAATCAAAAACCGTGACAGCTGATAAACTCAGTGTGGCCAAAGCTGTCCACTATTTCCAGAATGGCAGGAGTCCTCTACCATCTACATATGCAAGGTGTTTTAAGGTAGATTTCTGCAAATCAAAGACTGCCTGAATTACCTTCAATCATAAACAGGCCCCTAGTCCTAGTTTTATTTGTTTTAATGACGAAACTCAGATGCTTTGGAGTTGTATGCCCACAGCAGGGGAACACTGAATTGGAGCTTAAAGTCAGAAAAGTTTCTGTCCCACCATTTGGGAATGTTAATTGCATTATATCGCTGTTTTTATTCAACTATACATACAAAAATAAGAGGACACTACACTGGAAAAAAACAAAAGAATGTACCATAATAACCTAAAAGAAAAAAAATTGCCAAGGGAATCAATTTTCATCTAAAATCAAAATATTAAGACCAATAGTAGGACACACACTTCTTGAGAATAAGATGCAGAGAGGTGCAGCCCATTGGAAATGCAGGGCCACACAAACAGTAGGACAAAAAAGGTAAGAGTGTGGGCTTCAGAGTCAGGCAAGCTCCATCAGTAGCTCAGCTTCACCATTCACTCACTGTGGAACTTTGGGCGCAGCCTCCAGACTCTCATTGTCAAATAAGACTTATAGGGAGGGTCAGTGGAGATACTGTGTGTCCACAGGCAACTCAAGCAAAGGGCTTGACACACAACACACCCTCCATAAATGATAGCCAGAGTTGTTAGGCTGGTTATGACCATTAGTGCAAAATAAATATGTGTCAAAGGCATGATTTAAGTATCAATTAGTGACAGAAATGATCTATGGTAGAAATCTTACTGGATTTGAAATAAAATGCACACGTGTGCCACAAGATCCAAGAGAACACATGGGCAAGAATGCGAAGCTTCTGAGACACTAAGATTGTAAAATTGGGGACATCTGGGTGGTTCATTGGGTTAAGTGTCTGCCTACAGCTCAGGTCTTGACCTCAGGGTCCTGGGATTGAGCCCTGTGTGGGCTCCCCGCTCAGCAGGGAGTCTGCTTGTCCCTCTCTCTCTCCCCCTCCCCCCGCCCCATACTCGTGCACTCGCTGTCTCTCTCTCCTCTCTCTCAAGTAATGAATAAAACCTTAAAAAAAAAAAAGATTTTAAAATGGTAACACAGGCATTTATACATCAGCAACTTACTCCAGGCAAAAATGATTTCTGACAAAAGGATTTACTTACCTTCCTTGTCAATGGAAACCTGGTCACCAGAGAAAAATGCAGTTGCCTGTACCCGGGCACCGACATTTACGTTATTGGTTTTTAAGGCTGATACAGTCTGATGAACCTGTGAAGTAACCAAAAAGGGAACATCAGGGTATTTCCAACTAATGTTAGAAATCCACCACCTTCCAGATGCTTCTCAATCCATTTAAGATGCAGGAAGAAGTATCTGAGGATCTAGAAATGTCTTCACCAGGTATCAGATGATAAGAGATGGCCACAGCATTTTGGGGTGATGTCATGACATGGACTTCTTAAGGCCTATACAATATGAGAGCACTGGCTCTGGAGTTGGGCTGCTTGGGTATGTTCTGTGACCAGGGACTACTTACTTAACCTCTCTGTGCCTCTATCTAATGGGGACATGAGTAGTACCTAATGCATAGTACAGCTGTGAGGATTAAATGAGTTCATGTAAAACCCTTAGAACAGAACCTGGCACAAAGTTTATATGCAATCATTTTTCTAAACAGAATAAATCAGAAATTTCCTACTTCCTAGATGCTGGAGGAGCAAGATGGTGGAGGAGTAGGAGACCTGGATTTCGTCTGGTCTCAGGAATTCAGCTGGATAGGGATCAAACCATTCTGAACACCTATGAACTCAACAGGAGATCGAAGAAAAGAACAGCAGCAACTCTCTGAACAGAAAAGCGACCACTTTCTGGAAGGTAGGACGTGTGGAGAAGTGAATCCAAGGTGATATTCGGGAGGATAGACAGCGGGGGAGGGGGCCTCCGACGCCACTTCTGGCAAGTGATAGAGCCGCGAGCACAAAATTGGAACTTTTAGAAGTCAGCTCCGCTGAGGGATGTCGCTCCAGTGGCTAGGCGGGGGGTGGAACCCTCGTGGGACAGTGTGGTCTCAGGACCCTCGGGGTCACGGAAAGACCGGGGGTGCCTGAGTGCAGCAGAGCTCCCAGGTGTCGGAGTAGGGAAGCCAGCTGCCGAGGTGGAGCCGAGGCGCGGGCTCTCAGCTCGGGGTGGCCATAAACTGTGATCCGCGGCCCAGTTGGGCCACTGCTCCTCCAGCAGGGACCCAACAAGCGGCAGATCGGGGGAGACTCCCCTCCCTCCCCCGGGAGGAGCAGCGCGGGAGCACACCGCAGGGATCTGCTGGGTTTGGAGACTCCACACGGGGTCGGGTGCCAGAGATAGAAACACTCCGTCACAGGCCAGGTGAGCACGGAGTGCGGCTGGAGACCGGGGCGTCGGGAGTGACTGACTGCTTTTCTCTGGGGCCGCAATGAGGAGCAGGTCCCCAAGTTCTTGGCAACTCCGGGGCAGAGATTGGGAGGCCGCCATTTTCACTCTCGTCCTCCAAAGCTGTAGGGAAAGCTTGCAGGGAACAAAAGCTCCCGAGAGCAAACCCGAGCAGATTGCTTAGCCCTGACGGGCAAGGGCGGGGCAATTCCGCCTCTGGCAAAGACATTTGGGAACCACGGTAACAGACCCTTCCCCCAGAAGATCAGCAAGAACAGCCAGCCAAGACCAAGTTTACCGATCAATGAGAATGGCAGAACTCCGGCACTAGGGGGATACAGCACATAGAATTCATGGCTTTTTTTTCCCAAGATGCTTTAGTCTTTCAATTTTTTAAATTTTCTTTATTTTTCTCTTTTTCTATTTTTTTTTGAATTTTTCTTTTTCCCTTTTTCAACCAACATCTTATCAATCCCTTTTAAAAAAATCTTTATTTTTCATTTTTAGAGTCATATTCTATCCCTTCATTGTAGTTAACCTTATTTTTTGTTTATATATAAGTTGTTCTCTCTTTAAAATTTTGGGATACAGTTTCTTCTAACAGACCAAAATATACCCCAAATCTAGTGTATGGCTTTGTTCTAGTCTCCCACCTGATCACATTCTCTCCTTTTTTAATTTTTCTTCATTCTTTTTTAAACAACTTCTTATCAATTCCTTTTATAAAATCTTTTATAATTTTCATCTTTACAGTCATATTCCATCTCTTTATCATATTTATCCTTATTTTTGTATATATAAATAAGTTTTTCTTTAAGATTTTGGGAGGCAGTTTCTTCTAACAGACCAAAATACACCCCAAATCTAGTGTGTGGCTCTATTCACCAGCCTGATCATATTATTTTTTTTCTTCCTTTCTTTTCCCCCCAGTTGCGGGTCTCTTCTGATTTGTTTAGTGTATATTTTTCTGGGGTCGTTGTTACCCTTTGAGCATTTTGTTCTCTCATTCATCTGTTCTTCTCTGGACAAAATGACAAAACGGAAAAACTCACCTCAAAGAAAAAGAACAAGAGGCAGTACCAACTGCCAGGGACCTAGTCAATATGGACATTAGTAAGATGTCAGAACTAGAATTCAGAATGATGATTATAAAGATACTAGCTGGGCTTGAAAAAAGATACTAGAAGGTACTAGAGAATCCTTTTCCGGAGAATTAAAAGAACTAAAATCTAACCAAGTTGAAATCAAAAAGGCTATTAATGAGGTGCAATCAAAAATGGAGGCTCTAACTGAGGATAAATGAGGCAGAAGAGAGAATTAGTGATATAGAAGACCAAATGATGGAGAATAAAGAAGTTGAGAAAAAGAGAGAGAAACAACTACTGGATCACGAGGGCAGAATTCGAGAGATAAGTGATACCATAAGACAAAACAATATTGGAATAATTGGGATCCCAGAAGAAGAAGAAAGAGAGAGAGGGACAGAAGGTATATTGGAGCAAATTATAGTAGAGAACTTCCCTAATTTGGGGAAGGAAACAGGCATCAAAATCCAGGAGGCACAGAGAACCCCCCTCAAAATCAATAAAAATAGGTCAACACCCTGACATCTAACAGTTAAAACTCACAAGTCTCAGAGACAAAGAGAAAATCCTGAAAGCAGCTCGGGACAAGAGGTCTGTAACCTACAATGGTAGAAACATTAGATTGGCAGCAGACCTATCCACAGAGACCTGGCCGGCCAGAAAGGATTGGCATGATATATTCAGAGCACTAAATGAGAAAAATATGCAGCCAAGAATACTATATCCAGCTAGGCTGTCACTGAAAATAGGAGAGAGAAAAAGCTTCCAGGACAAACAAAAGTAAAAGAATTTGCGAACACCAAACCAGCCCTACAAGAAATATTGAAAGGGGTCCTCTAAGCAAAGAGAGAGCCTAAAAGTAACATAGACCAGAAAGGAACACAGACAATAGACAGTCACAGTCACCTTACAGGCAAAACAACGGCACTAAATTCATATCTTTCAACAGTTACCCTGAATGTAAATGGGCTAAATGCCCCAATCAAAAGACACAGGGTATCAGTTTGGATAAAAAAAAAAAAAAACAAGACCCATTGATATGCCATCTGCAAGAGACTCATTTTAGACCCAAAGACACCTCCAGATTGAAAGTGAGGGGGTGGAAAACCATTTACCATGTTAATGGACATTGAAAGAAAGCTGGAGTGGCAATCCTTATATCAGACAAATTAGATTTTAAACCAAAGACTATAATAAGAGATGAGGAAGGACACTACATCATACTTAAATTGGTCTATCCAACAAGAAGATCTAACAATTTTAAGTATCTATGTTCCTAACATGGGAGCAGCCACTTATATAAGCCAATTAATAACAAAAGCAAAGAAACACATTGACAACAATACAATAATAGTGGGGGACTTTAACACCCCCCTTGCTGAAATGGACAGATCATCCAAGCAAAAGATCAACAAGGAAATAAAGGCTTTAAAAGACACACTGGACCAGATGGACTTCACAGATATATTCAGAACATTCCAACTCAAAGCAACGGAATACACATTCCTCTCTAGTGCCCATGGAACATTCTCCAGAATAGATCACATCCTGGGTCACAACTCAGGTCTCAACTGGTACCAAAAGACTGGGATCATTCCCTGCATATTTTCAGACCACAATGCTTTGAAACTAGAACTCAATCACAAGAGGAAAGTTGGAAAGAACTCAAATACATGGAGGTTAAAGAGCATCCTTTTAAAGAATGAATGGATGAACCAGGAAATTGAAGAATTAAAAAAATTCATGGAAACAAATGAAAATGAAAACACAATTGTTCAAAATCTTTGGGATGCAGCAAAGATGGTTCTAAGAGGAAAGTATATAGCAATACAAGCCTTTCTCAAGAAACAAGAAAAGTCTCAAATATACAACCTAACCCTACATCTAAAGGAGCTGGAGAAAGAAGAGCAAAGCAAGCCTAAACCCAGCAGGAGAAGAGAAATAATAAAGATAAAAAGTTTTTGCACAGCAAAGGAAAACAGTCAACAAAACCAAAAGACAACTGACTTAATGGGAGAAGAGATTTGCAAATGACATATCAGATAAAGGGCTAGTATCCAAAATCTATAAAGAACTTACCAAACTCAACACCCAAAGAACAAATAATCCAATCAAGAAATGGGCAGAAGACATGAACAGACATTTCTGCAAAGAAGACATCCAAATGGCCAACAGACACATGAAAAGTGCTCAACATCACTAAAACCTCAATGAGATACCACCTCTTACCAGTCAGAATGGCTAAAATGAAGAAGTCAGGAAACGACAGGTGTTGGCGAGGATGCGGAGAAAGGGGAACCCTCCTACACTGTTGTTGGGAAAGCAAGTTGGTGCAGCCACTCTGGAAAACAGTGTGGAGGTTCCTCAAAAAGTTGAAAATAGAGCTACCCTGAGACCTAGCAATTGCACTACTGGGTATTTACCCCAAAGATACAAATGTAGTGATCTGAAGGGGCACGTGCACCCTAATGTTTACAACTGCAATGTCCACTGTAGCCAAACTATGGAAAGAGCCTATATGTCCATCAATAGATGAATGGATAAAGATGTGGTCTATATATATACAATGGAATATTATGCAGCCATCAAAAAAAAAATGAAATCTTGCCATTTGCAATGACACGGATGGAACTAGAGGGTATTATGCTAAGTGAAATAAGTCAATCAGAGAAAGACAATTACCATCTGATCTCACTGATATAAGGAATTTGAGAAACAAGACAGAAGATCATAAGGGAAGGGAGGGAAAAATGAAACAAGATGAAACCAGAGAGGGAGACAAACCATAAGAGACTTAATCTCAGGAAACAAACTGAGGGTTGCTGGAGTGGATGGGGGGTGGGAGGGATGGGGTGGCTGGGTGATGGACATTGGGGAGGGTATGTGCTATGGTGACTGCTGTGAATTGTGTAAGACTGATGAATCACAGACCTGTACCCCTGAAACAAATAATACTAATGTATGTTATGTTAATAAAAAAATTTCCCACTTCCTAGGAATTTAAGAAAAGAGACACAATCAATAAATATAAACGTCACTTTGCTATTCGTGTCATTATCATTTGCTAAGGACAAAAACTAAATGCCAAGATACTTCTCAGCACTTACCCTGATTCTTCACCTACTACTAAGGCAAATGAAGGGTGAACCACAGGGGCACTCTTAAAATCCTTCCACTATTTTGTATAGTAGGGGCCTAACTCTGCAAGGTTCATTTCCATGTTTCTCGGTTCCCTGTGTGCCCCGTAACATGATATGACAAGCACGTTTTTACATACAAGATAGAGGAGAATCTTAGGAATCAGTACTATACTGGTATCCACCGACCTTGGAAAACTTTGTTACCAATAGACCCAGTCTGGTGAGATTCTTAATCAGTGTGTAAGTATACAATCTTCTTAGACCAGTGGCTTTCAAAGTGGTTTCTTTGTTTCTACTATGCCCACAGTAAGAAATATATAGCAACCCAATACTTAAACACATATATAAATATATGTTTCAAAGAATCATACTTAATATTTGTCCTTACTCTCTGCTATATTTTAATATATCCCATCCCATCCCATCCCATCCCAATCCCAATCCCAATCCCATTCCATTCCATTCCAAGAGAAATACTGGTTTTGACCTACTAAATCAATTTGGAAAATACTGCCCTAGACCTTATATTGTTCTAGGATTTTAGGATCACTAAGATCCCTCAGGCAACCAGAGGCTGAGAGTGAGACACACTTCCTCTAAGCCTGAATCCTGTCTGCCTCAGCCCCCTGCCTTGCTGTGTGACCAACGTCAACCTCTGAGACAACAGCAGGACTGACAGCAGCAAACGTGCATCCCACCTGATATTACCTGGCGTGGAAGACTCAAATCTACATCACCAAGTAGTGAGAACTTCTTTTGTCCAGTGGTGAGGATCACAGGCAATGGGGATGCAGGTCAAAGGAAAACATCAAGCTAACTCCAGAGATACATGAGTTACAGAGGATGAAAAGTAAAAGATTTCTTTTCATATTTGGATATCTTTACACAGTTTTTCTCCTTTAGCTGGATATACAAGATGGTCTTTGGATTCAGACTTACCACCTTCTTTAAACAATTTTTAAAAGGAGCATGAAAACTTTTTCTGCCATAAGATATTGGAGATGTACTATACCTTTATTTCCAGCCACTTTATTGTCTTCTCCTTACTGTACTTGTAATATTTCTTTTTGTCTATTTCTGGATTAAAGAGAAAAAAGAAGAGTGCATTAAACAAAAAATAAATTCATAAGATATGTATATATACATATAAAATATCAACAATTAATGTTTCATAACAGTTTATATTCTTGAAAAACTCAATTTATAAGCCTGAGAGCATACTTGAGAGGTTAAAAAAAAAAATCCCCAAACCGAACTTGGGTGCCTCAGGTTTCGTCCAAACATTAAATGAATGGGAATTTAAGGAAATCATCAAATTTTACCAATAGTTATCATCCCAAGGAGAAATTTTTTTTCTTTTCTTTTTATTACATCTACATGAGATGACAGATGTTAACTAAACTTATTGTGGTGATCATTTCATAATACCTGTGAGTCAAACCATCATGCCGTACACCTTAAACCTAGACAATGTAGTGATCTGAAGGGGCACGTGCACCCTAATGTTTACAACAGCAATGTCCACTGTAGCCAAACTATGGAAAGTGATTAAAATATGGAAAGTGTATTAATTACTTCTTAATAAAACTGGAAAAAAGTACACAAACAAATCTGTAGAAAATCTGTGATTTTTAAAACTCAGCAAATTAACACGCCAAGCAACCTTCATTTTTTTTTGAAATAATCTGAAGCTTAGCTCAGTGTTTTCAGTGAGACACTTCTTTTCTAAAATAAGAATGGAAATCCCAAGAAAGGAAACTGAAACTAAACACAGATGCGTATGAAGTGCACTGCAGGCATTGAGGGAAAAAACCTTGTTAACTACTTGGTACTGTCCTGGTGGGATTAGCGAGAAAGAAGAAAAGATACGCCTATCTTTGAACGCATTACCAGTATAATCGTAACTATATTTCAGGGGAATTTGGATTTACAATAGGCTTGACCTGGCCCTTAATGGGGATAAAACTCTCACCTCTTCTAAGTTATACTTCCTCCCCTCACAGTCCACCTAGCTTTACATACTGTGACACGAGGCGTTATTTCCTTGGTAACACTTCATTCGCGGAGTTTCTTGCTTTCTGTGCAATCGGCAGAGGCAGAGGCTTGCAGCTCCCAGCCTCCTGCCTCATGCAGGAGTGATCTTTGGGACCCCTGGAAATCTTAGGGCCAGATGCAAACTCCCCCCATGTGACTTTGCTACCCGGGTAGAATGACATTTTCTCTTTCCTCCATAATTGTTGTGGGAAATGGAAATGCTTATTCAGGGATCATTTTCTGCAGTCTGTTACATCGGCTTGCGTTCCACGAAATGGTTTATATGGGAGAAGGGCTGGCCTTAGCGCCTGCATGTGTCCTCCCCGTTCCGGCCTGCAGTTGTCAAAACTGTGGGCAATAGGAGGCATGATGGAGTGCGGACTGGGCTTCTGCACCCATCTCCTCAGGATGTGTCACTGAAATAATGAAGGAGAGACTGTTGCAAATGGCGTTGTCAGAGTTTGAGAACTCCAAGGGGCGACGTCTGCTATGCGGGAGCCAGGGGCAAACCTGGGCAAACAGCCTGCTGTGGAAACAAGGCAGGTGAAACTAAACTCAACTTCCCTGGAGAGAGTGTCCCACCCATGTACAAAAATAAGGGGAATTCTAAGAGCACATAGCAATCACTCAATAAATGTACTCCGCTGTGTGGGTTAAAACTTCTAAAGAAGCTCTGTTCATTGCCTGAGATAAATCTCCAAAGAAGCTCAGTGTAGAGGTCTCTCCTAAGAAATCCCACCTAGACTCTGTTACTCACTTCTCTCTTGCCTCTTATGTCCACACTTCTTGAAAGAACGTTCTACAACCTGCCACAGTTTCCTTCCTCTCTCGCACTCCCTGACTCCCTTGCAGACCCTTCCCAATCCTCTTGCCAATGCTCTGTCAGAAGAAGTGGAGACCACAGGCTCTGAGCCATACATACTGCCGGGGCTCCGACACACCCAGTGCACGGTGTCACCTGTTACACAAGATGATCCACACAAAGCCGAAAGCACAGCACCTGGCACATAACAAATACTTCATATTACTTAAAAAAAAGATTAAATGACAACTTGCTAATGATAATAGCATCAGAAACTAATGTATCTTCGAGCCTGTGTACGTTCTTTATATACATTTCTCACTGATGTTCAGCATGAATCTCAGGTGAAAACCACTGTTTGTCCCCACCTTAAATGACTGGGTTAGAGTGAAGTGAACCACATCGTCCAAAGTCACTGAGCCATTAAGCAGGGTACCAGACTCCTACTAGGCTGACTTCAGAGCTGCGGATCTGATGTTCATTTTATCAAGATCAATTAGGACTTCACCCTTCTCAGTACTTTTGACCCTGTTCTTTGTGGGAAAAACCTCTCCTCCATGATTCTACAAAAACTTTTCCTCTTGGTTCTTTTAGGTCTCTGGTGACTTTTCCTCTGATTCTTTTCAGGCTCTGCTTTGTCCGGCTCTGAGGCCAGGTGTACCTTTCTCTGGGGGTGAGTTCATTTTGTTTCAAGAAGACCAAATAAACCCAACCAGGAAGCCCAAAGCCCTGAGCTGAGGCTCTGTGCCTAAAGACAGACTGTTCATCTTCCTCCCAAACCATCCTCCTGTTCAACCAGGCTCGGATCTGAAAGCCATCACTTCCTCCTGCCTTGCTTCCCACATTCTATCACTGGATTCCAGCGTTACCTGGTGGGGGCCGTGGGGGAGGAAAAAACAAAACAAAATGAACAAACAAACAAAAAAATGCCATGTCAGAAATGAGGAGGCTTAGCTTCTCATGGATCAGTAACTACTTCCATTAAAAAAAAAAAATCACCTTTCTTTAGGAATAATGTTCCTATGGTTAATATACCCATTTTAAGTGTACAATTTGAGGAGTTTGAACAAACATATACATACGGTCATGTAACTATCACCCTAAACAAAAAAGCTGCTCTGAACATTCTTGCACTAGTCTTTGCATGGAGATGTGTTTTCGTAAGTCTTGGGTAAATCCCTAGGAGTAGAATTACTGAGTCATAAGAAACTGTCAAGTGGTTATACTATTTTATGCTTCCACCAGCCAGGTAGGTGAGTTCTGGTAGTTCCTCAACTTATTGTTTTTCCTTTTTATTTCAAGCCACTCTAGTGAATACTAATGATATTTCCTTGTGGTTTTAATTTACATTTCCCTGGTGACTAATGATATTGAACCTGTTTTTGTGTGCCTATGGGCTATTTATAAATCTTTTGCTAAGTGTCTGTTCAAACTTTGTGCCGATTTTTTTTTTACTGGCCTGTATGTATATCATCTTATTACTGTGTTAAGAAAACTCTTTATATATTTGAGATACATATCTTTTATCAGATAGACCATGTAAACATTTTCTTCCAACCGTGGTTTATCTTTTCTTTTTTCTTAATGCTGTCTTTCAAAAAACCGAAGATACTAATTTTGATGAAATGTAATTTATGGTTACATTTATAATTTTTTTTTATGGCTAGTGGATTTTATGTCCTAAGAAATCCTTGCCTATCCCCAAGGTCACAAAAGTTTTCTCTTACGTTTTCTTTTAGAAGTTTAGTAGTTTTCATTTCTGCATGTAAATTAGTGATCAATTTTGAGTTAATTTTTCTGCATGACTGTTAGGTGAGGGTTAACATTGTTTTTCATATGAATATCCAATTTTTCCAGATCATTTGTTGAAAAGACTATCTTTTCTCCCACTGAATTATCTTGACACTATGGAAAAAATTCAATTGACTATATAAGTGTGGGTCCACTTCTGGATTCTCTATTCTGTTCCCTTATCTATATATTTATCCTTATACCAATGCCACACTTTCTTGATTATTATAGCTCTAGAGTAAGTCTTGAAATTGGATTGTGTAAGTTCTCCAATTTTGTTCTTCTTTTTCAAAATTGTTCTGGTTATTGCAGGTCTTTTGCAAATTCATATTAATTCTAGAATCAGCTCATCATTTTCTTCCCCCCACTCCCTCCAAAAAAGTCTGATAGACATTACATTAAATCTATAGATCAATTTGGAGAGAACGGACATCTTAACAATATTGAATCTTTAAATTCATGAACATGGTATATCTCTCTATTTATTTAATTCTTTAATTTCTCAGCAATGTTTTGTAAAATCCAGTGTACTGGTCTTGCACATACTGTGTTATATTTATTTCTAGAACTTCACGATCTTTGATGATATTCTGGATATGTTTTTATTCCATTGTCTGTTCACTGCTAGTATACAGAAATATAATTCATTTTTTATAAATTAACTTTGTATCCTGTTTATTAGTTATAGTAATTTTTTTTGTAGATTCATTTGGGCTTTCTACATACATGTCCATATTGTTTATGAATAGAGATAGTTTTACTATTTACTTTCCAATCTGTATACCATTTATCTTCTTCTTGTTTTATTGAAACTGTTAGGACTCCCACTACAATGGTGAATAGAAGTGGTCAAAGCAGACATGCTTATCTTATACCCAGTCATAGGGGAAAACTGTTCAGTCTTTTACAGTGAAGTATGATGTTAGCTTAGGTTTGTCATAGACACCCTTTTCCAGGAAGCTCCCTTCTATTCTAATTTGCTGAGAATTTATATTATGACTGAATTTTGTCAAATGATTTTTCTGCATCTATTGGGATGGTCATACAGTTTTCCTTTGGTCATGTGTAAATATGGTGAATTATGCAGATTGATTTTCTAACGTTCAAACAACTTTGCATTCCTGAGATAAATCCCACTTGGTTATAATATGTTATCCTTTTTATATATTTGATTTGCTAATATTTTATTAGGAATTTTTCAGTCAATGATCATAAGGGATATTGGCCTGGTTTTCTTTTTAAAATAATTTTGACTTTGGTATTGGGATAATTCTGGCTTCACAAAATTAGTTGGGAAATTTTCCTTCCTCATCTAATTTCTGAAAGGATTTGAATAAGTATCATTATTTGAGTATTATTTATTTCTTAAAGTATGGCAGAATTCATCAGTGACGCTAATTGGGCCTGGAGGTTTTTTTCTAGGAAGTTTTTAATTATCAATTTATTTCTAATTGAATACTCCCTGGACAAGATGATAACTAAGAAATATCCAACTTGGATATCCCAGAATGCTACAAAAGGACCAAGTGCATAAGCTACTGCTTAATTTTGAAATTTACAAATTTTGATAAGTAAGGGGGTTCAAAATATTCATGAAGGCCGCAGATTACCCAAAATTATGAAAAATACCATAACATGTTTGTTTGTGTCTTAAATTTAGTATTTGCAAGAGTTGGTGAGTTAGATAATATGTACATATGCTGGAAAGGTTTCTTTCCTTAATGTGTCTGGTGCCTATAAAACTGGTCTCAAACATCTGGAAAGATTGGGTTTACAAAATAAAGATGGAATAAAAGTGAGTCCACAATTAAATAACATGTTCAGCAATTGGGTAATCGGCTCACAATCCTGAATTTCCCTGATGTATTATTGAACAAACTGCCTAGAGCACATTTTCACATCTACTTTCTCAATGTTTTCCATACCAGAAACTCATATGGTCTCTTTTTTTTTCCTGCCTCCTGGGGAGAGAAACTTGGCAACTGTACTTGGGGTATTTTAATCAGGTAAGTTTTCCTGGCTCTTCCTGTTAATCACACCGGCCAGCCTAGTGCAGCTTTGGCTTGCAATATGAAACAGTGTTAGACTCAAGATGAAGTTCACAGCCCTTTATTAGGCCTTTCCCCTGTCATCCCTCCACCGAATGTGAGCTTCTTTGGCAAGAAACGTACTGAGCCCCAGAGCTAGCAAACAGAGACACATCATTTCCTTCACTAATAAAGCAGGCAGTGCTAACTAAGGTCACGGTCATCGTCATTTGGGATACAAACAACTGTGGCTGGGTTTACTCGGCAGGGACGAGGGGGGTAGGGGGAGGTTCTTAGAAACCTAGCAGGCTTAACCAGATCTTTAGTGCCACAGACTTTTGAGACAGCATCTGGAGTTTAATATCAAAACAGCTGGCTGGGGAATCTGAGTATTTCAGGGTTTGCTCTATCTGTAGAGTGCCTACGGAGAGAATGGGTGTTAAAGACAATCAGCTCTCTCCTTTATCTTTGCTCCCTCTCATGGATACCACCTGACCACTCCTTAGCAGTCCTCTTTGTTTATTTTGAAAATCCTAGCAATAAAATACGGAGCAGAACCAAACAGTAACTTATAAATGGACAGTAAGCTAAATTCGAATAGGCAGCTGGGACCCAAGGCAATCGCTAAAAGAGGGGAATGGGTGCCTGAGAACAGAAAGCTCACTGCTGGGATGAGAAACTTGTCTTCTCTTTACGCTATCGTAGTTCTCTGTCTTCTTTCCTGACTCTCTCTTTTTGCCTCACAAAGGGAAATTATGAAGATGGGATATACAAGTTTTTTTTAAAAATAAGTTTCTATCTTTGCATGAGATACCACCTAACAATTCTACCGGAGTCTTCTGGAAGTGTTACACAGTTGCAAGAAGGAGAGGAAAGAGTGGCTGTCAGACACAGGTTCCAATTCTGGTTCCCCACTTCTACTTCTGTGATGCTAGTCCAGTAACTTCAGCTCTTTGAGCCTCGGTCTCCTCATTTGTAAAAATGCAGGTTGTAACAATAATGAGAGGGAATTACTGTAAGGATACAATAACATATGTACAATACAGATGATACATACTTTCTCATTAGATAGTAGATATTTTTATTATTACCTGATTATCCCCATTCTACTTAAACCACTTCAATATATATTTAGCAATGGACCAACAAACAGATGTGTACGGGTGTGCCCAGTACTTACACATCAACAAAGAATTAATAATTTCTAATTCAGAAGCCTTAATAGTACTAACATTTACTGAGCATTTACTATATATCCAGTACTCTTTGGTCATTGATTTACTTGTATTACATCATTTAATTCCAGAAGCATCTCTTTATGGTAGATACCAGAGACTATTAGCTGCAGTATTTAAATAATGTTCACATCCCTGTCATTCAATAATCTCAACACCATAAAGCTGAGAAAATAAAAGCTTTATTTTATGATCTAGAACAATTTTGCAAAGTACTAATTATAATGTATGGGGGATACTCTCAACCCTTCAAACTCTTCATCTTACAGAGCAAGGATGCTGAAAATCTGATTTCTTCAAAACTATATGGCAAATATACTCTTAATTTTCCTTGTATGCCATCAGATCCTGAGATCAGATTACCAGACTGTTCTTAAAGAAATTCTTTCCCAAAAAAGATATGAAGCAAATATAATGAAATATAAACCTTTGTTGATTATTGGGTCGAGTACAATAATATTTGCAGTTTTTTATCTGAATTTTTTGTATCTTTAATTTTCTTAATAAAATAATTGTTTTACCGGCCCATGTACTTTAATTTTCAAAGTAGATATATTATCAGCCTATATTCATTCCAGGTTTCTAAACACCCTTAGCCTCAAATTTTTCTTTCTTTCTTTTTTAATGATAGTAAGGCAAAACATAAAGTGATAATTCAGATTAAATTTCATATAGTAAAAGATGTATGCAATTTTCTCTAAAAGTCTTGACAGTTTCTTCATAATTAAATTCTTCCCCTAATAAATGACACTCTGTAAATCTTAAAATAATGAAAGGTTTAAAAACAAAACCAAAAATTTTAAAAACAAGAAAAAAAAAGAAATAGTAGGATCTCTTCTATCTCTTAAGTATGCTTCACCCTCAAAAAGGCCTCTTTCTCAAAATGCACATAAACAATCTCACATTACTTGCCTTACCCCTTAACCCAGAGCACAAATATGTGAAATATTTTCTTTATGTCAGTTCTGTATACAAGGACTGCATACTGAGATAGACATCTTTTCCCATGAAGATCCAAAGGGAAATTCATAGTATTTTGAAGTTTATTTAGAGCTGGTCAAACAAGATAAGCACAGGCCATGCACTTTCTATTTCAGCAGAACTTCCAACTGTTAAGCCATGTTGAGGAGTGACAGAGATTAGGACACGAGTTCAGGTAATGATTTAATCAATGATCAGGGGTTCCGTGTGAAAGAAGGAAGGAATGAGAGGGAGGGAAGTTCTTGCTTTGAACCGCAGGCTGAAAGCTAACAAATGCCGATTCATTAACACCATTTCTCAATCTGGGTTTCTGGGTTTGGGTTTAAGATAACTGTTCTTTATACAGCTCATGTAAGCATTTGGGATAATGAATTCATTGCATTTTCAATTTACATTAACTTGGCAAAATTAAAATGACTTGTACTTATTCCTCATTATTTAAGCTTTCAGAAATGGCTATGAGCTACTTCATTTGTTCACCCACAAAAAGACTGTTATCTCCTCCAAGCTCAGCATCAGGGAATGCCTTTAATGGGACGGTTTTGATAAAACCTTGGTGCCACATTCCATATCCAAAATGGAGCTCTAAGCCTGGCCTAGGGTGAATTTAGTTGAACCTATAAATGTAAAATGCAATCAGTGAGGTTCTCCCCTTTCCCACTGTAAGCTTACACTTCTTGGAACTACCACTTTCTTGGGCTCAGAACTGTCACGGTTGCCAAACCGACCATGAACAACCACAGCTCATCAGCCTGTTGTTTTGGTTCCCACACTCCATGTCCATATTAACCCTGAAACTACCTGGATGACTTTGGAGACACAGATGCTAAGTTTGTATAGTGTTTCTAACTTAACAAGACATACTTATACACACTGCCTCACTTCCTTCTCTCAGAATTCAAATGAATAGTATCTACTGCTCCTCTCTTAAGTACCCCCAGCCTGCTCTTCCCACCTGTGTCTCCAGGAGGCCGCCCCCACTGCGGGTCAGGGCACAACTCAACAGTCATCCTTGACTCCCCCTTCTTCTTGACTACCACCCCCAACCCCGAACGAGCCTGGTTCTACCTCTTGGGGCTACTTTCTGCTAGTTCCAGGTGCTAAGCTCAGGCTACCATCATTCCTGCCTAGACCACTGCAGCAGCCTCCGTGGACCCGGCCTTAGGTTCTCCAACAGGTTTTTCACTTTATAGCGCTCTCCTGCTCAAACTCTGCTGACACTCCACTACCATTAGACAAAGTCAGACGCACATCGGGCCCTTCATCATCTGAACCCTTGCCCTGCATTCCCACCCTTTCCTTCCTTACCAACCTAAATGCATCCCTGACATCCGATACTCTGGCTAACCTGAACTCCTTAGAGCTTCCTACACATGACGAACTTTCCCATATGTCCACGCCTCTGTTATGCTGCTACTCTGACTTGTCCTTCAGGGCTCCACTTAGAGGTCATTTCACCCAGGAGAGCGACCCCAGAGCCAACCAGCTGCGCTCCCCACCTGCGAGGTTATGAACGTGTCCTGGGCATCCCCAGAAAACCAGGAGTTCACTTCCGTTACTTTCTGCTGTCATTGCCCTATTTGCATTTGTCCCCTATAGACTCCAAGCTTAGTGAGGGAAAGGATAATGTCTTATTTGTAATTAGTTTAACTCTAGTGCTCAACATATGCTTCTTAGCGGCACTCAATAAACACTTCTTGATTCAAAAGAAGGCAAAGGCTTTATGTAATCTTACAAGGAGAAATCTGAGGCAGAAAGCAGTCGAGGAACTTAACTGAAGTCACATACTTAGTTCAAAGAAGAACTGAGACCAAAGCCCAAGCCTCATGATCCCTGGCCCTGTGGGAGATAGGCCACCGTGTGAACTGGTTAGAATTTCCAAGACTGAACAGTCCAATGCAATAGAGGACTAGCATTGATGAGTGGAAGCAAGTCTGAATGACAGCTTCCCTTCCGACTGGCATAGAACAAGCCTTCCACTCAAGTGGGGCAGGTGCCCAGCCTTTCCAGCAGACATAAGCCTGATTCAAAAGGCCACATACTCTACCTTTTTCCTCTGTCACATGTCGAAGTAACTTCTCAAGATCAGGAAGTTTCAGCAACAAAATGCAATTTGGAAACATGTCATCCACCACAACTTGCTCTAGGGGCTGGAACTTTCCCTGAAAGAAGACTTCATTCAGTCAGAATGCAAGCACTCCAGTCAGCAAACTCATACATTATGAAAAAGGAAAAGATACATCATCTCATAGCTGGATCTTTAAACTAAGTTCAAAGCCACCTGTCTCACCTAAGGAACCCCTCCACTGGGATAGGCTCCAGAACTGACTCTCAGCTCCCTCTAGGAAGCTCTTGAAGGCACTGGAGTTCCAAACAGCGTACCACCCATATCAAAAGTACAGCTACGGCGGGGTGGAGGGAGTTCTGGAAGAGCGCTAGAAGCCATAGAAGCTTGTGGAGATGGTAGAGATTGCATTGGGCTGGTCCAACCCATTCAGTGTGTGGGAAAGGATATAAAGCTAAGGTCACAGAGCAGGAGTCCTGACCATCACTCAGGAATAAGCCCAGATCACACACAGAGCAAACAGCTTCCCTCCCTATCCTTACCCCAGGGCTGAAGGAAGAAATACTACAGCAAGGAGAAAATAACCAAAATGAATCTGCTCCTGCCAGGGCTGTCTGACAATGCTTCCAAATGTAGGCCATGATAAAATAAAAGATGGCCAGAGGGGTAAGTACAAGGAAGCTGCACACATACTAAATCAGGCTCATCTACAGAGGTGTGTAAGGCCTGGAAACCAATGGGCCAGAATTCAGAACATAGGAATTCAGAACATTCTTCTTCTCAATCAGGTTATTTTTACTTAATTGTGCAGGAGCATGGAGGGGCGAAGTCTGTCTAAATGATTAGTTCCCTGACTTGGGGATACTGGACTTTATAAAAAATGCATGGTTCTGCCCACGTCCCACTTCTAGCTCACTCTGCTTTTCTGTTTTAGCGACAACTCTATTTGAAGACAAAGAAACCATCTGATCAGTTTTCTTTCTGCAAATGCAGGTTTATTTGGTTTGAAGGGTAAAATCTCATTCATTCAGTAGCATGTGTGAAAGCTCGTCATACTTTCTGTTAAGTCAACAAATGGCAAGAAATGCCTCAATTTCAATGCTGTCTTTTTCCTTCAGATAGTAAGAATAATCCACAGATTTTCCAAATCTTCCTGTCTTTAGGTATCTACCTTAATCTATATTCTATCATGGTCAACAAATATTTTAAATATTTAGCAATTGAAAACAATACTCTAATTATATACGGTGGACTGCCACACAGTTATGATATAATAATTTCATAATTAACTAATATTTCATTCTCATTTTCTTTACCATATATACCCAAAAAGGAAATGCAATAAGCAACTTGCTTTGAATATAAAGTTAGCAACAGTTGGGATAGCTAGAAAGAAGAATTTTTCTGAGATTAAAGAAGACCAGGTCAACCTTTCAAAAGTGCATACCGATATTCTTTAACTCAGTAGGAAAAGATCATGTGTAAAATGCAAGGAAGGAAATACCTAAATGTCATGAGTTATTTTATAGGGCACTTCAAGTATTTGAGAAGAAAAAGTAAGATGGTTTACAATGAAAGCCAACCACCACTTCGAGCAGGATTTCTGCTTCATTCTGTGTCTGTCGACCTGAGCCAGCCCTCAGGACTCCCAGAGGGCCAGGGTGAGGGTTAATTCACCAGTCATGGTCTCAGTGGGACACAGGGAAACAACCCCACAGCATGGGGGGAGGGGCTTTAAATGTGCATCATTACAGGTGCTAAGGCTGGTTGGTGACTTTCTCTCTGTTAATGTATCCTAGAAAACTAATGGGAGCCAACTGAAGTATTCAACTGAATACTACCAGATCCTTGCTTCTGGTGGTGACCTGCCCATCTCTGTTCATTAGAGACGAAGACTTACTGGCCTCGCCGCTCATGTACCTTAAATACGCTGGCTCCATGGTAGCTTCCGGATAATGAGCACCATGAATGAAGTAAGGATAAAACTTCACCAATCCACACTAACAGAGGATATAGGAAAGGAGGGGAATAAAAGAAGCAAGTTGCATCCGGAGAGAGTATGACTTAAAGTTTGAAGTCTGTTTTACTGCTTTCGGTTTTTATAGCAAATTAAACTGAGGTACCCACCATACGGAAATTTGGTCTAAGGACTAAATAAGATGAGCCCATAAACATTTAAACTATAAGCAAACAGCGTGCGAAAACCCCGATTCTTCTAAGTAGTTTAAATAACACTGATTCCTTAAAATTGTTAATCTGCAGATTTTCGAACTGTGGTTGGTAGATGCCTGGTAGTCTCTAACACCCTTTCAGGGGGTCCAGAGCTCAAAACTATTTTCACAATAATGCTAAGGTGCTATCTGCATTTTCACTGCGCTGACATCTGCACGGCCAGGTGGGTAGAACTGCAGGCTCCTTAGCAGCAGTCATGGCCATGGCACCAACCTATCCTGTAGCTCCTGCGCTCTTCACTGCCATGCAGGGCAGTTAAAAAAAACACAAAACAAAACAGAAGCCATGTCACTTAAGGATATCCTTCATCAAGAAGTAAAAGCAATTACTGTTAGTGAAGCCTTGACCCTGAGTGCAAATCTTTTCAATATTCCGTGTGCTAAAAGTGATGCTAAAGCCCCTTCTGCCGCTACCCGGGCACAGTGATTCCCGCAAGGAAAAGTGCCTGCATCACTGAGTCAAGAGCAGAAATAACTACTTTTTTGTGGGATCCTATTTTTAACCGAAAAAAACCAGTACAGACTAGGGCTGTTCAGACTTGGGTATTTGGCCGAATATAAAAGAAGTGAACCCGTGACTTCAAGGAAAAGACTGAAAGTACTTGCAGCCAGCCAATGATACCATTTTAACTTTCAGGCAAAAATTAGAATTGTAGAAAAGTTGTATCAGCTGCTATGAGAGCTTCCCAATATATAGTTTTCTGATGAGGTCAGGGGTGATATTAACAAAGGAGAGGAAGAGAGAGAGAGAGAGAGAGAGAAATGAGGTGTGTCAACATTTGGAAGATCTGCAGAAATCAGTGAAACAATATTTTCCAAATGACCAATGCATGTTATTATAAAGTCATACATGGGTAAAAAAATCCATTCTCAATGCAAGACAGACCAATGGATTTTCATGTAAACAGAGCACGGGAAATTCATTGACAGGGTTTCAGATTCCACATTGCAATGAACTTTTAAGAAACCACTACCCCTTGTTGATTTTTAGAGTAGTATTAAAGAAGAATATCTGCAATTGTCTGAAAGAGTTATTATACTATTCCTCCTTTTTCTGACTACATATCTGTGTGAGGCTGCATATTCTTCATATACTTCCACGGAAACAATACAGACTGAATGCAGAACCAGATATGAGAATCTAGATGTCTTCGATTCAGCCAGACATTAACAAGACTTGCAAAAATGGAAAACAGTGCCATGCTCTTCACTGCATTTTGTTGTGTGTTTCATTGAAAACATGTCATTTATGTTAACATGTAATGGGCTCATTATTTTTATTTCAAAATAAATTAACAAAACTATTTTTAAGTTTCTCAGTTTTAATTTCTAATGTAGTAAATATTGATAGATAAAACCCGCAGGAACAAAAAGATTTTGGGGATCCTTAAGCATTTTCAGGAGTGTAAAGGTATATTGAAACCAAAATGTTTTAGAACCTCTGGCTGAAATGATTACTGTTAATGAACTCTGTTTTTATATTGAAAGGGTAAATCTCATCTAACTGGGATTCCTTAAGTCTCAAGTACAGCTTCCCCATTAATGAGCTTTTACTAGGCACACCCCAATTTACCTATTTAATAGTCTCACAGAAAGAAGAAAATAAGTCTTCTTTCCTTTCTTAAGGCCCGAGGTCAGTTTCAGTTTCTTAACATTTGTATTGTATTTCAAAACGAATGAGGACTTAATGATAAAATTTTCATAGTTAGGCTTTTTCTCAAACAAGTAAGGCCCGCGGCATGGAGGCCTAGGCCATCCTCAGAAGTCACAGGTAAACTGTCAGAGATGAGTGCTGGTTCTCAGTCTGTGTCAGTGCTCTAATCCGTCCCAGCACATGTTCCAGACCGACTCCACCAACCTGAATCAGATTAAATTACATCTGAATTGTGGGGAATCTACATTTGGGTCATTAAAAGGAGAGAGAGAAGATCAAGCAAAAAGTGATCTATTCTGTTCCCCCACTGTTCAAGTCCCAAACAGGGAAACTCACCTCTTTGTCAGCCTTCCTGAGGTAGTGGAGAAGCAGAAATAGAGGGTCCATGGGTGTGGCAAAGTGGAGAAGACCTCCTACAGATTAAAAAGAGAACAAAAGGAATTAAATGTCTTGGAAAGACAACTTATTTCATCTTAATCCCAATGTGGAAACCATTCCTTGAAAAATATATGTGAAATTCCAATTTCAGAAGCTCTTCTTACATAGGCACAAGATTCTACATGACTCTTTCGAAAGGCAGAATGTGCTACAGTAAGTGTAGTCACCATCTGTCACCAAACAACATTGTTACAATCTTATTGACTGTATTCTCTATGCTGTACTTTTCATTTCTGTGACTTATTTATTTTACAACTGGAAGTCTGTAACTTTTAATCTCCTTTATCTATTTCAGCCACTCCCCAACCCACCTTCCCTCTGGCAATCACCAGTTTGCCCTCTGTATTTAAGAGGCCGGTTTTTTTTTGCGGGGGGGCACGTGTGTGGCTCAGTCGGTTAGGCATCTACCTTTGCCAGGTCACGATCAGGGGGGTCCTGGGATTGAGCCCTATGTTGGGCTCCCTGCTCAGTGGGGAGTCTCTGTGTCCCTATCCCCAACTTGTGCTCTCTCTCAAATAAATAAAAAAAAATCTTAAAAAAAAAATGAGTGTTTTTTTGTTTGTCTCTTTTGTGTTGTTTGGTTTCTTAAATTCCATTTATGAGTGAAATCATACGGTATTTATTTTTCTGTCTGACTTATTTCATTTAGCATTATACCCTCTGGGTCCATTCATGTTGTCACAAATGGCCAGATCCCATTCTTTTTTTTATGGCTGAATAGTATTCCATTGTGTGTGTGTATATATATATATATATATATATATATACATATATATATATATATGCAAGGGAAACAAAAGCAAGAGAAACAAAAGCAA